TACACATTTCTCAAGTCAGACACGTGCAACAGATACCATTTAAGGAAGCTTAACGAGTATCAACCTTAAACAACATATTATCTCGATAAAAAAACTCTGAGTAACTAAAAATCTTCAAATAATAAGGTTTGTTGATCGTTTTAGGATCATAATCCGACACTTTCTTCAAATTGTATTGCGTAGTCAGTAGACCACCAAATTCAATCGGTTTGGTGCATAGTAATCGGCATTTCCCCACGTTTCCTATAGCCAAAGGCCAAAAATCAACCGCACCTTGAATAAGTAGAAACTTTTTTGTGTATGTGTTCCAGTGAGCTCTATGGAGTGGTTCTTATGTGAAAGGTGGAAGTCATCCCTGAAAGAGTATAGTGAATACATGCCAAAAAGGTAGGGTGTGGCGGCAGTGGTGCATTTAGGCACGCTTGTCGGTCACTGGGGAAGGCACACCAGTGAATCAATTGAAACAGAGGATATTTAATTACGTTTTCACCTTGGCGATGGGAGAGTTCTGTGTCTTGAAACTGTCGCCCAAACAGGCTGTATCGCTTCAAACCAGTAAGGCGGTGTTCTAATGCCACAGAACAGAAATTCTATCCTTAGCAGGTAATAACCGACACATCGGTCAATACAACAGAGAAATAAGACATAAATATCTTAAGTTACTAGTTTCAACTAGCTATTACCGGAGGTTTTCAGCTACGTCGATAAATTAGATACACACTAATAAGACGCAGGGTCTCGATGGAGTCTGGGGCCTCAGGGTTTGTTCAGTTATTTGCAGCTTTGAAAAATCGCTTGTGGTTCTCATGAATTTCTATTCTTGCCTACACTTCTCAGTTTGCTGGAGCTGCCATATGATACTATGACCTAAATGACATAAACTGATTCAATTTAGGCAAATACATTGTTTCATAGGGTTCAAAAGGGGGCAACTGCCATGATCTTTGAAGCCTTCAAAATAGATGCGTTTTGCTAAAACAGGATCTAGCTCAGGTTGTTGCATTCATGTATCATTTTTTGTATTTCTATAAAGTGTGTATGACCAAATGCTTACATTTCATGCTAAAAAAGCCAATTACAGTAAAAAAAAATACAACGTGAAAAGTGCAGCTTACTTTTGGTTACGGCTAAATTCTAACGTGATTTATTAACACCCTGTTCCAACCTGTTTGTTAGGAGTCGGTATAGGTAGGGTATACGGGAATTGCTATAGATTGGATTACGAGAGAAAATATATTGAAAAGGGGAGCCTGTTGACGGATGGGAATGACAAGAAGACAAATCAAGGCACAGTGCCTGAATAAGATCATCTGGCCTCGGATTGATGTGCTCAATAGTAAGTCTATTGAATCGATTAAGATGAAAAATACACTACTGATTATCACCAAACGACGACAAATGGATTTTAATTAATTAAGTTACCAAAACAAGGTTGTTCGCTATACTGTTTGGCTTTTGATATTCCTATGGGAATCTTCCGTGGATTCTTGTTTTAAGAGGCCGGGAAACAATACATGGGGGCAATAGAGTATAACTGATAAAACGCATTGGTAAAATAAAGATGACCAAATTGGCTGCGAGTTTTCGAATGGCCTGAGTTTCTACAACTGAAGGGAGAAATACCTCAGTTTTCCCATACGATTGTGAAGCGCTGAAAATCAGAAATTACTATTACTGATAAAGACCAGGCAATTGAAATAGTCCACTAAACAAAGGGTTACAGTTAACGATAGCAGAATCCATTGGAAACATAAGGCGGGAAGGACCAAGCATACACTCCAGGAACTTGGATGAGTTAAGGCTATGACCAGATTGGAAAACTGTTGAATTGGAGATAGATTTCCAGTGAAAGAATCAAAATTCGATGGTTCGACTCAAAATGACAAAGTCAACTTAATTTTTTATGTGCATGTGACGGAGCCCAAAGATCACTGATGAATGTAGAAATATGGAAATAGAGCAGTATGCTGAAACACCGGAATTATTAACTACAACTTTTGATGTACTCCTGTCCAATTTGGTGCATGAGATCCTTTATGTAAAATATTCAGAAATTAATTAGAATACCTGTCTAGGAGTGATAAAATGCTTAATTTTGAAAAGGACGGACGGAATGAAACGCAAGTGGATGGTCAAGGAAAACGCAACCAACGGGTTAGAGTGAATTATTCCTGCTGATGAAATGGATCAGAGAGGACAGTGTTCAGTGGAGATCTGTTGCGTTTATATGCTAACTGGAGAGGGTTATGAAGAGTCGTGGTAAGCGACTGCAAGCGACTCAGTTAATATTATATGATTATTAGTTTTATGGTCAGCAAAACGGGGAATCATAGACACAGAAAGGTTGCGATCAGAAAACGTTGTGGAGATCTGTGATCTTCGCTTCTCTATAGAGGATGCTAATAACCCTGTTACTGTAAAAATAGATTCCTGAGTTCGAGTCCGAGATCTGGTGTAAAATTAAGTAACTGTCGTTCAGTGGGCGAACTCTTTCGCCAGCCTTCTTTGCATCCTCCTAAGTGAAATTAACTTTCTCGATATTGTATTACGTTAAGGAGATATTCACAAAATAACCGTGTTTAATTATGGGTACTTGCAAGATTGAAGTTGCGTCGAAGACAGAGAAAAGCATGATAATCGGCAAACCGAACGATAACTGATTACGGATCTGATTGACAATGATGCGTTTATCGTTTGAAAATGATCCGTCAGCATCGGTTGACCGTGGTGTGAGGCGTGTTCAGGCGGAGGGGACAGTACGTGCGATACATCTAAAGAGTGCACCTACGCACAAGGCGAACGCTTGGTATGCTACAAGATTTAGGATTTGATGGACTGACTTAAGTCACAACACCGTCTGTCTCCCTTCAACAGGATGACGATAAATCTGCATGCTGTAGGCCAATCATCCAGGCAACGCTTTTAGACCTAAAAACGCACGTGAGCTGGGTAACTCTGATGGGGTTACCGTCTTGCATGCAAATCTTAGTCCGATATCAAGGCTACTTGAAATAACACCCGGATATCTTATTTGATACCGGAAAAACTTTAGTGGCAGGAGATATAGTTCTCACTAATGTGCCACTGATGAGATTTCGTCACTGAACTGGGCGCGTCCGACTAGATTATACACGTCCCATCAATGGTTGACTGTGAACCACTCCTGATCAATTGTTTTGCTTGCGTATATGACCACATATTTCATTCTCTTTAACTCAAAACATTACATCTAGTAAAATTAGTTACAGTTTGTTTAAGCCACGCTTGGCTTAAACTTTCGAATGATATCACCGTAATCATAAAGAGGCGCTTGGGTGAATCTTTTACTATTCCATTAGATCAAACTGGTAAAAGTGATTGCATATGACCAATGGCGCGCGGGAAAGGACTGTATCCACCAAAACGCAAATAAATTTCTTTGTGTTCTATCCGCAATGTATGAGACAAAACAAGACACGTACAAGTTGAATCACCAAATGACTGACCTCAGTAGCGAATTCATAACTCAATCCAAAAATGCTGAAAAATTGGTGAACTTTGCCACTAGATTGAAAACAGTATAGTTTAATTTACTGAAAATCCGAAGCCAGAAACCGAAGCACGTGCTGCTGAAGATGGATAATTGTTCAATATTAGATTCCGGTACTGAAATCAACTTGTACGTTGCTGTACAAACGAACAGCAGCATTGGCCGGACCTCTGTCTGGTGTTCGGGAAAATCAAAATTTTTCTACGCCTCCAGATTTCACTCATACATAAAGATGTATTGTTCAAACAATAGAATAAAATAAGCTCCTTAGGAACACAAACAGAAACACGCTGGTCACCTTGGTAATCAGGTCCAGACTTGCTCCATGTTCGAGCAAGAATCGGCAAAGATTTTGATGACTATTGATGATAGAATTGTGCAGTGCTGTTTTCCCGTCTCCATCCAGTGCGTCCACCTGGGCACCCAAACGGATGAGTTCATAGGCCACGTCCACATTGCCGTTGTTTTTCAAACCGGCTGTCAAATCATAATTCAATGGTCAATTCAAAAAGTGAAACGCCTGAATGTATCAAAGACTCACGTATTAGAATATGTGAACAATCGAAGGATAAATAACTAAAATGACTGTCAAACACATCAGCTTCATAGAATCCAGATGGGCATATTTGCGACCCAAACGATTTACTACAATTTCGGAGAACTTTAAGACATAAACATTGCACTGATTTGTTAACCATGTTTAGCCGCATGCGAACTCGAAATGGATCCATAAGTAAAAAATGTCATGGACGAAACACAAAACAATCAAGTGGATAATCGAGATTCACGTCCAATCCGTTGTATTAATGAGCAAAGAATAGTGTGTTGAGGGAGAAAAAATTTTTCTGCATCCGTGAAAGTGTCATGCCAAGCGTTGAGTGTCGAAAACCATTTTAGTTTTTTCAATCACTTGACAAGCATTTTTATGTGCAGATTTTGTTTGCTGTCTTTTGGCTAACCAGTTAGCTAAGGGAGCAGAATAACAACTGGAATGCTGAGAGTAGAGTCAAAGGGAGGATAGAGAACTCATATAGACTGTGGTTGCAAGAATAATAGGTAGATGCACGAGTGTTATTGTTTGTGACACACAAAATATAAGTACTCATCGAAAAATGAAAAGAAACTGACTGGTTCCCTGGTACCGCCTAACTTTCCACAAAATAAAATCAGTGAAGGAACAATATTTTCCAAATACTCTCAGAAACTCGTCATCTCTTAAAAAATACTCTCAAAATTCATGTCTACATAATTCACATGCTTGAAGTTCAACCGTTTGTTTTTTTCCTAACTTTGAGTATTTTAATTTTGATTGGCAATTCATTGCTCGTTTCTACATAAGAAAACGTATATTTAACTCTCTGGTTTACTGAAAACTAAAGTGATATCTACATTTTCTTGAGATTACCAAAATGAGTCCATCACAACAGACCTGTGTGAGGTATATATATATGTATATATATACATGTATATCAGATATTAAATTTGAGAGACTGCAGTCCGCACGTGTTGTATTCTGCACTGTGGCATTGTTTCGTGACATTTTAGCGAATAAACACGTTTTCGGCTACTTCTTCTTCGAGGTAATGCAGCTGTATACACGCAAGTAGTTCAGAATTCTCTCAAGTGGTATAATATCCTAATTTAAGGTGCACTATTGATCAGGGGAGGTGACGTGATATGCGGTTTGGAAAATACAATACGTAGCACGAAACTGTCTATACTCTTCCATTTACGATAGCATTTTGTTTTGCTTCTCAGAAGGAACACCGAGTTAACTTCAAATAGGATCTGATACTGGCAAACAGGCACTGATAAATCGAACGTGCTAACATGTCCCAGTGATTTCATCAATCACTCAATTTGAATTGACTTGACTTGAGTTAATCTACAGTTAATTATGAACACATAGGCACAGTTCGAATCGTATTGCTCCCTATCTAAATGTTTCATCAGTTAGTAATGGTACTTGAATGAATACTCTATAAGTTAGAACGGCTTATGCTTTATTATACGTAGCATCGTATTTAATAACAATAATAATATTGGTCATATCGTACTATAATAGTTTACTCAATCTTTTTGTTCAGTATTTTGGTTGAACCTTTTGAATTTTTTAGTGAATATGCAGTCGCACAAGCAACTTCCAGAACAGGTAGGCGGGCAATCAAAGACTGTGATACGACAAAAAGAACAATGGAGGCGATAGTAATAGGGGTTGAATACAATCTCCGGGCAATGTGGTCCTGACCAATACCACTTAACCAGAGCAGAAATGAGATGTCACAAAGGCAGCAGTTGTGTCAGATCAACAGAGCACATGGATTACACAAACATGAAGCATTGGAAAATATTGATAGTAAGTTGAAAACGTAGTGATTGCTCACCACAGCGTAACAATGGAGTCCATCCCATTGAATGATCTCTGGCCTCCACATTAGCTCCAGCTTTAACTAACAGTTTAATCGCTCGGGTCTGTTCACCGTCAGTGGCCATATGCAACGCTGTCAGTCCGCTTTGTTCAGCCATGTCCACGTTTGCCCCAGATTCAATGAGGGTTTCCATGCATTCGATATTACCCTTCATTGAAACATGAACATAAATCTATATCGAGAATACTCACTTTAAAAATGCTATGGTATTGAGATCAAGAAGGACAGGTACTAAAACTGTTACCTCGTATGGTGAGGAAACATTTGCGAACAAAATGCTAAGCCCGGCAAATAGGTGAAAGTGAAAGAAAACTTAGGAACTAACCGATTCATTCCAAGGTTACTTTGGTGTTTAAGAATTCATGTAAACAGATCAACAGTAGACATAAGATTTGAGCGTTGAAACCATGCTGTGAACGTGGCAACCAGTCCAGTTACCGGTGACCACAATTTCCTGATAACATTTAATCTGCTTCACTCTTTTTCACGTGAATTTCAACACCATTTGCCCACCGGGCAAACACAACGGTTTAGTCTAGTGTTATGTGATCTGCGGTCTCTCCATTAAAAGCACTAAGTGTCTAACGTCTCTATCAGTTGCCTAGGCGGAACGCATCATTTAACCGAGGTCCAATTCTACATCTTCAACTCATTTTTATTGAGTAACGTCGTTCTTGCAGATCTAGTAGAGGACGAACACTTACAGCTAACAGTGATCATCTACACCCGATAAATTATTCCCTAAAGGACCACCTTTATGCTGTTTAAATTGCACGGGCCCCTAGTACCGTTTAGCATCACACGTGTCCTTCTGGCTCCGGTGATCCATTCTAATTCCGGGGTAGAAATCGAACATTTTGCAGTTTTCATCCAACATCGACTCAAATATTGCCGAGAGAAAATAGTTCGGATGGTCTTATTTCCGTGGGCTGTATTGCAAGCCAGCTCATCCACCGTTTTTATTTTATTCAAATGTTCATAATTGCAATAACGCTTAACAGTATCTTGGGATGAAGTATCATGCTTCACAGGGAATTAAAAGATACCATATGATCACTTCATTTAATTACGTTATTATGAACTAATTGATCATGGAACTGAGGCAAGGTGTCAGCAAAGGAACAGTTATGAACACGATAGAGGGATGATTGTTTAAATTCTATCAGTTTTGTAGGAGGGGCATCCGTTGGATCATGCGTCTCTTCAACTGGGTTTCAACGTTCCGTGTATTCAGTACACCTTCAAAATGAATCTTGGTGAGTATACCCAGTATTTCTGCCATCTGTTCTGCACAGATTCTGGACTCAGACGTGTATGAAACAAAAAATAAATATGCATCAAGACCGATATATGTTGCGATATATCGAAATCTCATTTAACCTTCTCAATCGTTGATGTAAAACAAACAAACATATTGGGTTTATAAATTCTACTGAACAGACATGTGCCGATAGACAGACCATTAAAATTAAAAAGAGGACAACTCTACGGCAAATTTAACTTATTGCGTCAACAACTTTTGGGAGCACCAAACGGGATAATGTAATAATATTAACAAGGCCTCACTAATTTCCAACGGTTTTCCATTGCAGTTACATAACAACGGTTTGAAAGAGGAAGCTGGATCAATTATATGTTTGGTCTTTATAAAATGTTTTGCAATTGATGATCCAGGGTTCTATGTGACGGCCTGACTATTATTTGTGGGTTTCATCACTGACTTCACCAAACTCTTTGGAATTTGAAACATTTGGATCCCGTAATGAATTTGAACAGGCAAGTCAGAAGACAAACACTGCGAGAGGAATTCCTTTCTTATCGGTCGCGTACGTATAAAATTGAACAAGATAGACAAATGAAGCGAATTAAGAAATCTAGTTAGTATTGCCCATGTGTTTCTGTGTGTGGTTGAGTACAGTGTGTGNCAGGGAAGGCAAAGGGTAAAGGTCATACATTTTTGGATGCACAGTGTGGGTTTTTTGTGAGCGATCGATAATGCCTCGAGTATCCTTAGTCGGTGTTTGTCTCGATGACGTAACAAAACCGAGAACGCGTTCGTAAGGTCTACCCTGTGGCCGCTTTCAACCAAGTGACGTGCGATGGCCGAAGTCGGTCTGCGTGATGCGGTCGGAGTGTGTGTGGTGTGGGCTGAGTCATAGAGTCACACACATACTTGGGGATGTGTTCAGCCACACTGAGCATCCAAAAACGTATGACCTTAACCCTTGACCTTTCCTGGCTGTAACCAATCACGTGCATCACACACACATGGGTAGTACTAACTAGATTTCTTAATTCGCTTAATTTGTCTATCTTTGGGAATTTGTTCTGCTATTCGTTGTGATAAATGAAGGTTGGTTCTGCCTATGTATGCCTCACCACAACTACAGTTGAACTGGCATAGTGTGTGAGACAGAACTGGATTGTCAACCGTGTATACGTTTCAATTCATAAAATATTCGCATAGGCAATGTAGAAAATCGCATCCACGAGGAAATTTACTTTCGATATACGGCATCAGGCGGTGACTTATGTAATGCGATCATATTAATGATATCTAGTTGGCTGATTTCAGCTCAGTTTACAGCGATGACAGAGGCGAGCAAGTTAAGCAAGCGAATGTAATAAGGCTAGCGGTGCTCAAAAACAGAGTCGTGGAGGGGGTGAGAAGACAAAGGTCAAATGAAATAAAGGTAAACAAATGGTCTGATTAAAATGTTGCTGAGAGTTGTGAGCTGAGGCGAGAGAGCGGAAGCAAATTGCGCAAGATACACTAGAAACTATATGGCATGTATAGTAGGCGATGAAAACGGGAAAGGACAGTGGAAACAAAATCCCAATCAGCACCATTGGTATTAATCCAAAGCAGCTGCATCAACACTTCACGGATTTTTCAAGGGACTACCGAATAGTTTTGTGAAGTTCCAGAATATCTGCATACAAGGTGGTAATTAAATGCATTTTGAATTGCCGGATATCGTTAACAACGGCAATACTGATAGATCGTAGGAATTAAAGACACCAATACATTTGTAAATCACCATTGATCGGCTTGCTCTCTCCCGTAGTTCTCATATGGCTAATTAAGAATGTATGCTGCGTTAATCCTGGCACTTTTTGGATACTGGCATTTTCCCTTCCTTATCCGTAAAACCATCTCCACTGCGGGAAACCAGTGAGTAAGATCTCCTCCCAGAAGAAGTTATGAAAACAAGTCGTCGAGTTATTTCGACAGTAACCCGTGATAAAGAAACCCATTTGACGAACCATCCAATTCCATTGAACGGATCTATTCCTTGGAAAATTAATACTGACCTTGTTAATAATACCACCGATTTTAATGTAAACGTTCTCCCAAGTGGAAGAGTTCAAATGTGGAGGTATAAAGTGAGCACTAGATAAATGTGGTTTTTTCCAGTTCAAAATATTTGACAAAAATATTGCCGTAACTTCAAATATGCAGTCAGCCCTATGTATCCTAAATGCAGTTTACATCAACTGTTGATTTTACTATCAGTGTATATGACATATAAGGACCTTTTAAGTAATATTGTTTTCAAACATTATTAGGCAATGCATTATTGGAAGCCAACTGAAAAATATCTAAAACTATATCATGGAAATATGTATGTAACCCAGTGTTTAAACAAAAGAGGATGGAATATCAATGTTTAAACTGGTGCTTTTCATAAAATGAAATACCTGTTAGGCTTTTTAATTCGTTACGAAAAGGGAAGCTTTCCTTTTGATAGGCGGAATATAAAGCTGAAATAAATTATGGATCCTTATTTTAACCGAATGGCAAAAAGTTTAAGATTCATTCTTACTTTGAAGGAGGCGAACATCAAGGCGGTCTTCCCTGTATCATTCTGAGTATTGGGATTGGCGTTCCACTCCATGAGAATTTCTACCATCCTGTTGGCAAAAGAAGTAAAATCAGCTTAAGCACAGAAGCTTTCGTGGTGTAACCCATTGTGAAAACAAAACGAACAGATACTGAAAATTCTGATTAAATTTATTCCTCTATAATTAAAAATCCGACTTATTACGATTGATTGTACAAACCCGACCTCAGAAGAATTTACGACTAGATGATGTGTGTTTTCTAATGGCCATCTTCTTCGCTATCCATACACTGTGGTTTGATTTCACTAGGGGTTTGGTAGAACCAATATTGATCACCTCGTATGGGTGTGTATTTGGTACCACACTAAGTTATCAAACAAATGTGACAATCATATTTCTTGAAATCTGTTTCGGTTGCTGTTTGTTCTCTTCATTTTCCTTGGGTTTTTAATGGAAGGCTGTTGACACTGATGGTTACATAAAATGCACTCAGTTCTATATTATATGGCTATACAAGACCTCAAATCAATTTTTCTCATTTTTCTCATTTGATAGCTGTTCATTTAATCCAAAAATCAATGATAAACCTATGCGCTCCAATAATAACCGATAACGCAAAGCATCTTCGAAGGCTGACGAACTCATCTGCTGCAGTTTGGCTTTGTGATAGTATAAAAAAGATGAGATAATATAGCAGCGTTGATTTTTGCCCTGTATCAGTTAAATCAGGGCTAGATGCACTCAGCTCAGCGTTCCAAATGTCGTTAATTGTGAATTGCAGCATCACCTAATTCGTCGAATTTTTCTTTTTAAGTTAATCAATTAATTAAATAATAAGATAAAATACCTCCCAAAAATTGCAAACACCGACTGCATTCCAGATGGGTGGCATGATCATCAATCCTTGTGATTAAACTTTCGGCTTATTGAGACGTATTCCTTGAGACCCATCGGTAGCTTTAATTGAAATGAGCAAACCAGAGATTTGGTAAAAGTCACTGCCCACGAATTTATGAGTAGGTCGGCAAAGTGATAAACAAACAATATATGAGAACTCAATTAATTCCCATTTTTGCTCGAAATCAGTTGATTAAAGAGCTTCAGGTAGCAAAATAATGAACTTTTAGCAATTAGTCAAGAAAGAAGAATTTTTTAGAAAAAATACTGCTAAGTTATAGACTTTCTATACTTCTCTTGATGTAGTTTATTAAAATGCGATGCGGTGTGGTGGCGTCAGATCCCAAACAAACCTAACAGTACGAGAGATATATTAGGGCGTTGCCCGATTTCTCGCCTCCAATCGCGACT